TAATTATGAGGGAAAAGCCATGTACGTGAGCACCCGGAAGAAGCCTGAAGGCAATCGTCAGATGTCAGCCCTGATTATCTCCGGGTGATTTTCTCTTCTTTGTCTCTTCCAACTTGTCCATATGAACTTGTTGGTTTTTTTAGCTTCAGGGAAAATGTTTGGTTTGGTTTTCTTTCTTTCTTTCTTTCTTTCTTTCTTTCTTTCTTTCTTTCTTTTTTTCTTTTTTTTTTTTTAAACAAAGAACTAGAGAAATGATTTCTAAGACCAAAAAAAAGTCACAAACGAACCTTTGTGGAATGCTGGTCACTCACCGTGCAGAACACACAGCTGTGCTAGCCCAGCCCACACGATCCCTAACCATCCACCTGCGGACTCCCGAGGCTCAGGACACCTGCCCCAGCACCCTGACTTCCTCTTCTTTTTTTCTTTTTCTTCTTTTTTTTATAATATATTTTATTGATTTTTAACAGAGAGGAAGGGAGAGAGATAGAGAGCTAGAAACGTCGATGAGAGAGAAACATCGGCCAGCTGCCTCTTGCACACCCCCTACCGAGGATGTGCCCGCAACCAATGTACATGCCCTTGACCGGAATCGAACCTGGGACCCTTCAGTCCACAGGCCGACGCTCTACCACTGAGCCAAACTGGCTTTGGCCTCTTCCTCTTTCTTATCCTTCTCCCTTCCCCCCAGGGCTCTTCCCACCAGGAGGCCCTGGCTCCCTGAGGGCTGACTTAAAACGAGAGTTCTCACTTTTTCAGGATTCAGGGCTGCTCGGCTCCCCTGCGGCAGGTCCCACACAACCTCCCACCCTCACCCTGGCCTCTCTGACAGTCTCTCCCTGCCCAGGTCTCAGCACGGGCTGTTATTTTCACCTGGACCCACCCATCTTCCCCCGGTGGCTGCGAGGGCTCCTTCCCGCTCCTGTAGGGACGGTATGCTGGCATACAGAGTGCTGTCCGTGGACTTTCCCTCAGAGTGGCGAGTGCTATAAATAGCCGTGATAAGAAGAGGCCGCGGGCCGCAGGGCTGAGGGTGCTGCTGTCCTGTGACAGCTGGCTGGCATTTCTGTCTCTCACGCTAAATTGGAAACTCTGGGAGGGCGAGGACGGAGCCGAGCTTATCTGCTGAGATGGAATGAGTGCGGACATGAGCGGGTCTGAGAGTGAGTCACGCTTGCCCGTGTGTGCGGGGGCCTGACGGGGAGGCAGCGAGGACTCGCTCTCTGGCCTGGAACTAAGACCTGGGTGCCCCGCAGGCCCAGGGGGAGGGAGCTCAGGGTCCCGGAAGGTGAGAGCGAGGAGCTGCCTGCTCCCTGGGCCACAGCGCCCCTGCCTCTCCCCAGAGGCCCACCCCTCGCCAGGCAGAAGGCCAGTGGCCCCGCAAAGCCCACAAAGCCCGTAGCTGCTCCTGGACCGTGGAGGCCCAGGGCTTCGCTGTGGGGGAGGGGAAGACTCCCCGAGGCTTCTGGGTAGAACCCTGCAGTCTTGGGCAGGCCATGTCAACCTCTCAGGGCCAGCACCCCTGTCCAGCGTGTGGGGGAATCAAACAGACTGTAAACGGAGAGCCCTGGTCTTCTCGCGAGGACGATGCAATCTTGGTCCGTCACACGGGATAATACCGGCTTTGCTGCTGAGCATCACTAAACGGTGATTCAGGAGCTTAAGCTCATCCCTGTCAACACCAAGTATCCCTGGCTATTTTAAAAATCAAACGCCAATTGTTGGAGCCGTCCTGGTATTTTGATTCTCGACGAGCAAGGCTTTTCCGCAGCCCACCGAGGTGCGCGGTGAGCACGCCGGTCAGCCCGGAGTCCACTCTCACCCTCTGCGGCCGGCCGCCCACGCGGCCCGGGAGGGGCGGGTTTGTCTGCCTCGGCACAACGCATTCACCGGCGCAGGAAGCTCCGCTCTGGTGGGAACCCATCTCTCCGCCCCACCTTCTTCCTTTGATCCTCCCACGGAATCGGGAGCTGGAACAGCGGAGGCAAAGCCGCTCAGATGTAATTATTTTAATTCAGCCAGATGCTGGGAATTAGTCTCTTTTCCTCGCACGTATTCTAGGGAAAGACAGGACTCAGCCAAAGATGGCCCAGAGAAAGGAGCCGCGGAGCTGGGGAGGGGGCCGCTGTGCTGGAACAGCTCGAATCCAGGAAGCCGCTGCCATCCATCCCTGGATGCAGCCGGGAGGGGGAAGGGGAGGGGCGGAGAGGGTGTCTAATAGGTATTCCATTCAGACTGCTCACCAATCCCAGAAAACTAGACCAAATAACAGCACCCAGCATTCTCTAGAGCTTTAGAATTTCTTTAGAAAGCACTTTCGCTTTTATGACCGTACTGAATTATAGACTAGGCAGGGCGTCCCCGGCTGAGCTGGAAGCCCGGGGGCAAACTGAGGGGAGGCCGCCAGGAGCCCAGTCTTTCCCAGGCACCTGGAGAACCAGGGAGGCACAGTCCGTCTGGAACCTCCCAGCAGCCCTCTGAGCCCCGGCGTACAGGCGGGAAACTGAGGCTCAGGAGCTTGACCAGAAGCTCTCCTCCGTGTCAGCTGGGTTCCTCCCACACACAGGCGTGGTCTCAGCCTCACCTGCCGCTGTGCTTCCTGCTCATTCCGTCACAGGTGGTGATAGGTCACTGTGAGCACCTGTGCGCCCGGCCCTCTGCTGGTGGGGACATGGGGGAGGTTGAGGCCTCTGTCAAGCTCCTCCAGGCCCACTGAGGGATGCAGACCAGTAGAGAGACCAGAGCCAGCAGTGGCATGTGAGTAGATGTGGTCTTACTACGGCGCCCTGCTATCCATTGTACCTCATTCTCCAACTGGAAGCAGCTGGGGACCCCACAGCCTAGAGGTTAAAGACCCGGCTCTAGAACCAGACTGCCTGCGTTCAGTCTACTCAGTGGCCGCATGACCTTGGGGAGGTCACAAGTTCTCTGCAAAATGAGGACCATAATACATCAGACATTATAATATACTAGAGGCCAGGTGCATGAAAATTCATGCACTGGAGGGGGTCCCTCAGCCTGGTCTGCCCCCTCACAGTCTGGGAGCCCTCAGGAGTGGGAGGTGATCAGGGAAGGTGATGCCTCATCACACCTCTGCTGCTGCCACTGCTGGCAGCACAAGCCTCGGCCAGCCCTGGTTACCTGAGCCTCGGGAGCTCTGGGCAGCTGGGTAGCGCCATCTGAGGCTTGCCTGCACCCCGGGCCAGCCCTGGGGGCAGGGGGGCTGAGGGGATTGGGGAACTCTGGAGGCAGGTGGACGCGGCCTTGCCGCACACCTGCCACCCTGGGGGTGGGGGTGCTGAGGGGACTGGGCACTGCCATCTTGTGACTGTGGGCACCTCCATCTTTGGGGGCAGGACAGTCAATTAACATATTCCCTCCTTATTGGCTGTGGGTGCTGCCATATTTTGTGATGGTGTGAGGGTCAATTAGCATATTCCCTCTTTATTGGATAGGATCATGCTACACATTACATTACATATTATAACACATCAGATAAACAAGCAATATATGCAATGATTTAGCACAGCTTGTGGTTCAGAATAATCACTCAGTTAATGTTGGCTAACAGTTTACACCTCCATACATACCAGGAGTTCTCAAAGTATGGACCAGACATCCCCCGACCCCGGAAAGGGGGTCCCTGAGGCAGAAACTATGTTCACAATAATGCTGATAAGATGGAATTTTCTAGAAGTCACCCAACGGTGGCATCACAGCACCTGACTGCAGAGCAGTCCTCGCATCGAGCAGACCAAGGAGATGTGCAGGAAATAAAACAAGGCCACTCTTCTCACTAGATGACTTTTGTTTTGGAAAATCGGTTATTTTTCAAACAAGATGTTATTTATGTTAACCAGTAGCGGGGTAAACTGCTGCTATTCTTAAATACATGAATTCACAATTTAAATTTTTTCTACTCTTAAGTAAATACTGGGAGCCAACACACAGTAGTTGCACCCTCTTTGCACAGAGGTCAGGAAATTTGTCTCCGCATCCTTCCAGGCCCCTAACCCGAGCTGGACCTGCCCCCAGGGGGCGGCTCCCAGGTTACCCCAGGCCTGGTCTTGTGCTCACGCTCTTACTGCCCCCACCTTTCCTCCTGGAACCCCAGTTCCTTCATGGGGCTCCTAATTACCCTAAAGGCATGCCAGCTGGGGTGGTTTGGGGCAGTGAGCCCGGGTTTTAGAGTCAGGCTGACCTGGATATGACCCCTGACTCTACCACTTCCTGTCCTTCTACGGGGGACTTAGCCTTTCTGAGCCTCCATCTCCTCACCCATAAAGTGGGAACAGCAGTGGTATCTGAAACGAGGACTGCTCAGGAGCGAGGTAACTTGTGTAAAATACCCACCACTTGGCAAATGATACTGTTTTATCATTGTCACCAGCCATCGGGTCCGAGCCCCTTCGGCTGTGTCCACCACTGCTTCTCACAGCCGCACTCAACAAAACCACAACTGCCTGGGACTGAGACTCCGCTTCCCAGCACGCATGCACACACACACACACACACACACGCATGCATGCACACACATGCACATACACCAAGCACACGCACTAGTACACATGCATGCACACCTCCACACACTCATGCATTCTCATACATACACCCCTACCACACGCCCTCGCTCTCATCCCATGCAGGGCATCCCTGCTCTAGAGCTAATGTGGAAAAGGACAATAAATGCCCAAGCTCTGAGACGGAGAGGCCCCCCTGCTGCAGGGCTGGCGCCAGGGCAGTCCTGGCTCCGGGCGCGAGTGGTGCCATGACAGGGAGAGGGAGGAGGCCTGGCGGGAGTGGGGGCAGGGCTCTGCTGCTGACGGCCTCCGTGAGGTAAACAAGGAAAGGCTTAGCCCTCCAGCTCGCTGTTCGGGAATTCTGGGAGAGGGACGACTGAGGAGCCCTGTCTTCCTGTTCCCTTTCAGGCCCACAGGGTCCCCTCCCTCCCACCCACCCCACTCCCACCCGGGCCTGCCCTGCAGGCCTCTGCCACTCACCCGGCAGTTGCTGAGCTCCTCGGCCGACAGGATGATGGTGCCGCACTTCTTCCCTGGGACACCGCTGGGAGGGGAGACGGTGACAGGACGGAGAGCCGGACAAAGACAGAAACCAAAGCCTGAGCACGTCCTGAGCCGCCCTCCTCATCCTCCCACCCCACCCCCGAGCAGGCCTGCCAGACACACACACACACACACACACACACACACACACACACACACCGCCCCAGAAGACAGAGTCTCCGGAAACACGGTGCAGGGCGGCCCAGGGCCCTGCTTCCTGGGCCAGGCCCAGGCCTGAGCTGCCGCCCGCTCCCAGCGGGAAAGGGGGCGTCTGCACGGCCAGTCCTAGGACCAGAAAAGCATCCCCACTCACCCGGACGCTTCCAGGCCCGTGCTTCTCAGACCTTCCATCCAGAGACCGCTTCTGTGGGCAAAGGTCTTGTGGGCAGCCATCCCCCCTCCACAGCTGACCCCCGGAGTCCCAGAACGTCCCAGCTCTGAGCGCTGATTCATCTCAGGAGAGCAGCAACAGGGCTGGCACGTCCTTGGGGGAGCGTGCCCAGCCTTCCTCCCATGACCGCCTCCCTGGACCAACCTGGCTGGGGTCTCTGTCCCAGAGAGACCCCGGGAGGTCGGTCCACCCAGCGAATCTCCTCCAGGAGAGCAAGTTCCCAGGGAACCTGACCAGCACCGCCTGCCTCCTTGTATCCAGGAGGGACCCCTCCCGCCAGCACCACTCCAGCTTTTGGGACTAACAGGGGTCCCAGTGCGGCCAGGGGCCCTTGGGAGGTAGAAGAAAATGTCACATTGCCCAGCAGCTGCATGACTTTGGGCTCATGACTGTACCTCTCTGAGCCTCAGTTTCTTTACCTGTACAATGGGTATGATTATAGCATCCGTTTTACTAGCGAGCATGCACACACAGGCCTTGCACAGAGAAGGACCTCAAGGAGCATCATTTCCCTCCCTACCCCTCTTTCCCTTACATCCGTGGTTCTCAAAGTGTGTTCCACAGTGAGCGTGCTGGTGGCCCCACACTTCAGGCCAGCCGCAGGGCCACCAGCACGCTGCCTGCGGAACACACTTTGAGAACCACGGATGGAGCTCTTCCTCGCAGCGATTCTCAGAGGGAGGGGCCTTCACACAGAGGAGCAGGGGAGGCGGGGAGTGGGTCTGACAGCCGGCCTCGATCTCTCTATATCAGGGGAGCAGGGGCCACAGGCAGGTGGCAGTGCCTGCCAGCTTGTCCCCTTAGACAGGGCTGCTGGACTGGGTGCCCCCTGTCTGGCTCTTCCTGGTGGCAGAGAGATGATTTGTGGACCAGGCGATAAAACCCTAACACCAGCCCCCTCGCCCAGCGCCTCTCCATCTGTTCCTCTGGTCTCTGAGCCCCTCTCCTATTTCCCGTCTTTCCTCACCTCTCCAGCCCTGCTCCACCTGCTCGGCCTTCCCTTCTGCCTCTCCTTCCCCCTTCCCTCTGGTCTTTCTCACACACCCCCTTCCACCTTCTCCGTGTCTCTCTCTGATTCTGGCTCTCTTTCTATTTGCTGCTTCTCTGCTCCCGTCTCAATCAGCATCCACACCCTCCTGGGCTGTGAGCCCCCTGGGCCCTGGAGGCCCCTCTCCCGCATCCAGCTGGTCTGCTGGCCAATCAGCTGCGGGGACCCCAGCCCTGGAACCCTCCGCAAGCTCTGCTCTCTCAGCCGGTGCTCATCCTCCGGACGCACCTCCAGGCTGGACCCAAACCCAGCTCCCTCCCCTGCCCCCGTGGAGTAAGGACCCTCCCTCCTACCAGGAGGGGAGAGGGGAGGAGCGGGGAGGGTCTGTGTGAGGCCAGCCAAAAGCAGAGGCCAGAGCGGAGGCTGGAGGCTGGCTGCTACAGCTGGTGAGCAAACACAGACAGTGAGGATTCGCTGAAGTGACTGAGAGGAGCCTGAGATCCAGCAGTGAGAGCCGTGGAGAGGGTAGGGAGAGGGGAGGGGACGGGAGAAGAGAGACAGAGGGGGACAGAGGAGGGTGCCTGGTGAGAGGAAACCAGGCCAGAGAGAGGAAGGGAAGGGAAAGTGCCCGGCCCCTCTGACTCCTGTTAACAACCCCGACATCTGGGCCCCACGCTGCTCACAGAAGTCCCGGGAGCCACTGGCGCTCCAGCCTGGATGGGGCAGGGCCAGCTGCAGAGTGGCCCAACGTGCCCCAGTCCTTGAGGACGGCCGGGCCCTCTGTCCCCGGCCAGGCTGAGTGCACGCTGGCGGGAGCGGGACAGGGCCAGGACTCAGGGGCCCTCTGCAGAGCTGGCGGAAGGTCTGAGGACTCCGGCCAGAGAGGCCTGGGGACCTACCCGCTGGACACGGCCGGCATGGGTTTGCCCGTCCTGGAGTTCAGGCTGAACGCTGCTATCCTGTGCGGAGAGGAAGAGAGAGCGGGTCGTGGGCCAAGCCGCCCTTCTGAGAGGCCGGAGCACGTGGCGTCTGGGTACTTGGAGAATCCAAGATGCCAAGTGCTTGATGATCGATCCAGGTTCCTGTCCTGGATCAATCATCAAAGTGGGACCAAAAGGCACAGGTCTTCTTCCCAAACCTTGTTGTAAACTCCTGGATAACGCCACCTCGGGGGTTCTCAAAGTGGGGTTCCGGGCCGGAGCATCAGCACCGCCTGGCCCTTCGGCTCTGAAGCTCTGTGGGGAGGAGCCCTCTAGGGGTGCGAGGCCCCAGCGGCCTGAGGACCACTGCACACCTCCTTGAGCCTAGGGCACAGGCTGCGGAGCGGGGAAGTGCTGAGGGGCCCGCGGGGTCACAGAGCAAAGCTGTCCGGCCCAGAACAGAGGCCTGGTCATCGGGAGCTGCCCCCAGGCCGGGCCAAGACAGCCAGTGCCCTTAGGCCCTGGGCCCTTCGGAGGATAAAAGAGGTTCATTCCTCCAGCAACACCAAACAGCTCCCAGCGCCCAAGCTTTAGATCTGCTGCCCCTGAAGGCACAGCTCCAGCCCCCTCCCACCCAGATCTCCCTCAGTCCCCGCACTGCGCCCTCCCCTGAGGTGGACCGGGTGACGGCGGGTAGAAACCTGACACGAGAGACTCACGGACTTTGGACCCAGGCCGTGGGGAGCGGAGGGGGCAGACACCCCCCCACTCCTGGGTCCCCGCATTCTATAGGCTTCAGAGCCCCCCTAGCCCGGGTTTGCTCCCTGTTTCCAATAACTGATAGCTATTATCATTATTTCCTGTGAGCCCAGAGGAGGTGGCCTTTGGGGGGCAGGGAGGCCTTTTTGGGGACTCTGAAGTTACCACACAGTTACTGGGGAGTCAGACAAGGGCCTTGGGGAGACACACACACACACACACACACACACACACTCACAACCACAGGTTCTGCAATTACTGATCATGTGAGGGGCCCGCAGCCAGTGTGGACTTGGCAGAGGCAAGTTGGGGGCTGATGCCCCGCCCAGCCTGATCCCCTTTTCCTGCGCCTCCTGCCCATGACCTGGGTGCTTAGACCAGTTTTCAGGCCTCTCTTGCCTGGGCTCTGCTCCTGGGGTTTCCTGAGAAATGGGGACCCGAGGGGTCACCCCCGCCACCCGGCCACCCTCAGACGGCACGGTGAGAAGCCGTGGCCTCCATCCCAGAGCCTGCTCGGAATAATGGCTTCCCCTGCAAGCACTTAAAGCCCTTTAACGCAGGCCGTCGGGGCAGCGTGGGATGGGGAGACCTCCCTGTGCCCAGCTCCCACCGAGAGTGAACAATCTGAGGAGCGTGCAATGTGCGTAGAACCCTCCGTTCAAACAAGCCCCAGCTCTCCCCTCCTGGCTGTGTGGCCTTGGACAACTTACTCCCCCTCTCTGGGCTCTGGTCTCTTCCCCTCTACAAGGGGACAACACCTCAGGGCCATCCTAGCAATAAGGGGCTCTAACAACCAGCTGGGTCCCTCCTAGGTAACTGGCTAAAAGCCCTGCAAGGGGCGGGCCCATGGGGCCTCTTACTCCCGCCCCTCCTCGCAGCCTGCCCTCGGCAGGGCTGGGCAGGAAGTTGACCCATCACTGAGGAAGGAACCCAAACAGGCCCCCTCCCCTCTACACTTACGTGAGGGGCTTCTCCAGGCGGCTCCCGGGGGACCCCACAATCTCTCCGAGGGTGCAGAAGGCCTGGCCCAGGAAATCCTGCACATCGGGGTACAGAAAAGACCAGGGTCGCCCGCTCTGCCCACAGCCATCTAGCAACCCCCCACCTCCCACCCCCGCTAGAAGTGCGAAGACTCTGGAAGGACAGGGCCCCGGCCAACACACTCTCTACGGGGAAGCAGGGCTGGCTCAGACGTGGCATTTAAGGGCCTTGCAGAACCGCTGGGCAGTGACAGGTGAGACTCACGTGTTTGGATAAGTCTGGGCTCTTCGAGTCAACGTCGTATCTGCAGGAAACACAGAGGTGGTGGAGGGGTCCTGCCAGCCCAGTCCCGGAAGGACCCCTGCTCCCAGAACACAGCTCTGGTCCCAGGAGAGCTTGGGCGGGGAGAGGCCGATGGGTCCTCCCTGTCTCCTGGGGAGAAGGGGCTGCCAGAGCTGGAGCTTGATTTGTCCCCACGATCTCTCCTCACCGTCCACCCCCTTCTGCCTCCAGGTCAGTGCCTCCCACTTAACTGAGAACCATGGGGGTGCTTTGTCCCCTCTCCGCCCCCCTCCCTCCCTCCTCTCCCGATGAGGCTGGACTCCAGCTAACAGTCACTTTTATTCCAGGCCAACCCGAGCCTCCTCTAACACCACTGCCCCCCTTCCCTGGAAAGGGGCCCCCCTGCCCAACCATAGGCCCTGCGGCCCCCTCCCTCCCCGCCTCCTCCCAGCTCCATCCTCAGCACCAGGGTCCACTCACAGGTCGAAGCGGAGGTTCTGCTTCTCCTCGAAGAAGTAGTCCACGATGAACTTGCGCACGAAGTCGGGGTTGAGAGTGTTGTCGATGACCTCGGTGCGTCCGAACTGCAAGAGGAGACGGCATGGGCCCGGGGCCAGGCTGCCAGCGCAGGGAGCCCTGGGTCCGGAGCCTCGGATCTGGCCCTGTGCCTGCCTTGTGACCACCCTCCATCCCTGACTGATTCCGGTTATGGGTGCCCTCCTTTGAGGCTCCCATGTCAATGCCAGGGCAGAGACAAGGGACTGTGGGATGAGAGTCCCCTCCTGGCATCCACGCCCTTGCGTAACCCCTCCCCTTGAATGAGGGCTGGACTGAGTGGCTCACTTCTAATGAACAGACCGGAGAACAAGTCACTTCCAAGATTATGCTATAAAGGGCTGTGACTTCCATCTTGGGCAGCCTCCCTTGAGGAAGGCAGCTGCCGTGGTGTGAGCTGCCCTGCGGAGAGGCCCACGGGATAAGGAAGGAATGACAGCCAACCCACCCGTAAGAATCGGAATCCTACCAACAACCACCGACAGCTTAGAAGTGGCCCCTGCCCCAGCTGAACCTGTGATGACTGAGGCTCTGGTCAACACCCCACGATGGCCTGGTGAGGCAGAGGATCCCACAAAGCGGCCCCAGACTCATGACCCTACTGTGTCAGTGGCTAATCCCTGGGCTCGTTTGTTACACAGCGGTAGGTAACTAATACACAAACTTGACTTTCTCGGTATCCCCTGCAGCATATATGCTAGAATTTTTCACACATTGGACACTCAATAATTGAATCCCCTTGAACTCCCCCAAATGTCGCAGGGAATTCACTCCCCATTTCTGGGCACCTGGATCACTGGGAAGGTTTGTGAAAACAAGATCAGGCCTCACTCCCAAAGGTTCCGACTCAATAGGTTTAGGGTGACGCCTGAGAATCTGCATTTTCAAAAAAAACAACCAAAACACACAGGTGATGCTGCCACTGCCGGTGCAGGGACCGCCCTTTGAGAACCCTGGAGAGTGACACTGAGGAACACGGGACCTGAGTTCCCAGGAGTCTTCCAGGCCTGGGAGGAGGGCAGTGTGGGCTGAGCCCAGGCCATCAATTCTATCAAAGCTGCTCTCTTACATCTGTTCAGTGCACTGGACATTTTTTGTGAGATTCTGTTACAAAAAGGGATGTGGATAAAGATAAAGCATAGCAGCCCGTACTTTACCACCCATGTTCATTCTCCTGGGCTGTGGCCTTGGCCAGGACTCGCCATTCTCTCATCTTGACCACTGCCTTCTATTGGTCACCATGTGGGCCAATGGCTGCTGTGTGAAGACTCCGCTCCCGGAAGTCCTGCTCTCCAATGCCCACCCCTCTGCTGCTCCCACAATCTTCTCCCATCCCCATCGCTGCCCTTACCACACCCCCTGACATAATCTACGGAGGCTCGTCCCACCCCTGGACTGAGCTGCTCAAGCAGCAGAAGGACCAGGTTCTCCTCATCTCTGCAGCCCAGGGCCTAGCGCTGCTCAGCAGTCACACACTCACACTGCGGGAGATTACAGCACCAGGAACTGTGTTCGATGGAATCATCCTGTGGTAGACTTTCCCCATGTTATTGATGAGAAAACAAAAGCACGGAAACGCTAAGTCATCTGTCCAAGGTCACACAGCGCCTGATCGTTGACTTCAAGGTGCAAACCCAGGCCTTCCGGCCACGGTCTCTAAGCCTCATTGCACTGAGGGGCCAGGGCAGCAGGAGGGCACTGCTCCGGCGGCTGGCACACAGTAGGCACTCAGGAATTGTTGAATGAAGTAAGGCTGAGTGAGGAAATGGGTGAGTGGGTTTGAGTCCTGACTTCAGCACAAGCTAATCATGGACTTGATGATCAGAGCCGGTGAAAGCCTGTGTCCTCAGCAGAAGGTGGAGAATACTACTTGTCTTGCTCACTTCTTAAACTTATCCAATCAGTGCAGTCACCAATTGAATGAACAGTTGTGAAGCACTTGTGATGGCCAGGGCAGTGTGCTGGGTGCTGAGCTGCAAACATAAATGGGAGGTGAACCCTGCACTCAGGGGCTTCTCTCTCATCGGTGGGACAACTCATAGACAAAGACGGACAATACAGAGCTCTGACAGCCGCCTGCGAGGCCTATGGCAGGCCCTCCCCTGTGGCTGCATGAGAACCGCTGGGGAAGTGTGAGATACGGAAACGTGCAGAAAAGCAGGTGCCTGGGGCCTCCTCTCCACACACACGTCTGACTTCATAGGAGTCCGCACCTTCCATCATCTACGTCAACAGTGTTTCCCAAACTTTTGACATATGTGTACCCCTTCTATAATTTCCGTAACGCTGAGTACCCCTCGTACTCATGAGAAGGTAGAATTAGGCGCAGCTAAGCACGGTGCAGTGCATATCCCCACCAAACTCTGGTGCAACGCATACCCCCACCAAACTCTTCCTGTACCTTGGGGGTACGCGTCCCACACTTTGGGAAACACTGATCTATGAGATACCTCACAGCTCAATAAATTGCGGAAGGCGTAGAGTAATGCACTGGTTCTTGTCTGAAGAAAACCAAGTAAATTTAATAAGGTGGTATGCAATTGCTTATTTGATTATTGCCCTCTGGCCCCTGACCAGCGTTGCATCTATTTATAAATTCTTTTCAGCATTCCTGACTGGCCATATGCGTGTGTTATTTGAATTACCAGTAAGTCCTCACTTCACATCATTGATGGGTCCTGTGCCTTTAAGAGAGATGATGTATAATGAAACTCATTTTGCCACAGGCTAATGGGTGTAAACAAGAGTTGCATTCCTATGGCACCTCATCAAGATGATCACAAAATGACACCGAAAAGGGACCTCGGTTGAGGACCTGCTGTGTTTGAACCAGTTACAACTCTTACTGGTTCCCTCATTAATTAACGAATTAAATCATTGTCATGTGTTCATTTTATACTTGTATGAGGTTAATGATATTACTTTTTTTTTTTTTAATGTATCCTTTAATAGACGCTTTTTAAAAACACCCATATTCAAGCCCCACCACAGGCCGATTAAACCCAGATCTCCATGGGTGGGGCCTGAATGACACTTATTTAAAGTTTCCTCGGTGATTCTAATGTGCAGCTGGAGCTGAGCACCAGCCGGAGGAAGGTGCTCAGTAAGAAAACGAACACTTACTGAGCCTCCACTGAAGCTCCGCAGACAAGCAGGTCATTATCCTGTTTGATTCCCACAACGGCCCTGTGAGTTCTGTATTGCCCATTGTACAAGTGAGGAGACGGAGACCCAGGGAGGCATAGTGACTTGCCCAAGTCCACACAGGTAGGCAGAGCTAGGATCGAAACCCAGGTATGTCTAACTCCAAAGGCCATTATACAGGGGCGGGCAAAAGTAGGTTTACAGTTGCACACCTCTGAAACAGTTTATTGTTGTATGACTATAAACTAGAGGCCGGGTGCATGAAAATTCGTGCTCTGGAGAGGGCGTCCCTGGCCTGGCCTGCCCCCCCTCCCCACAGTCTGGGAGCCCTCAGGGGTGGGAAGCAACTTAACGATCAGTGGAAGGTGATGCCCCATCACACTTCTGCTGCTGCCACTGCTGGCAGTGCAAGCCTCAGCCAGCCCTGGTTACCTGAGCCTCGGACGGCCCTGGGTGGCTGGGGAGCTGAGGGGACTGGGAGACTCCAGAGGCAGGTGTGAAGAGTGGCCGGGCCCACCTGGGGGTGCGTGGGCCACCCCAGTGGGGCTGAGGGGACTGGGCACCGCCATCTTGTGGCTGTGGGTGCTGCCACCTTTTGAGGGCATGATAGTCAATTAGCATATTCCCTTCTTATTGGCTGTGGGGGCTGCCATCTTTGAAGGCAGGGCAGTCAATTAGCATATTCCCTCCTTATTGGCTGTGAGTACCACCATCTTTGCAATGGTGTGAGGGTCAATTAGCATATTCCCTCTTTATTAGATAGGATTATTGTATCATTTTCTATAGGAACAACTGTAAATCTACTTTTGCACACCCCTGTATTTTTTTTATTTCATCTAACTGGCAGGAGCCTTCAAGCATTATAAAAACCAAATAAAGATGAGTTTTACTTCACAGGCATTGACAGAAGCCCCACTATGTGCAAGGCAACCCGGAGGACTTCGAGTTGGATAAGACTGGGTTCCTGCCCATCGCCTAAACTCAGTCTAACTCTTATAATGTCTAACCTTGTTCCAAAAGAGTTCCTGCATTCGCCTCTCCTGCTCTTTCTAATTCTTAATACCTCCGGTCTTCAGACAAAATGAAAACTTTCCTAATGGCAGAATCTCCAGTAAACACCCACCCGGGTTCAAAAGAATCCTGTGAAACTGGGCCATTCCTCTCCCTCAGGGCATCGCTGCCTCCCTAAGACACCTGTAACCCCCCCCCCCGACTCCCCACCCCAAACAGGACTCTGGATAAGCTCCAGTGCAGACGGCGCCCGCATTCTTTGTGCACCCCTGTCTCCGCCAGCAAGGAAAACACCCATTAGGGGAGATGACAGCTGCTTTTAAAATGGCACTGGAAGCTGCAGTGGAGGGGGATTCCCTGGAGATGGATCTGCTGCTGGAGAAAATGGAGTTCCCCTGGAAACAGGCCGGGAGGGTGGGGGGACACGCCAAGGGCCCCGCTATCTCCGGGGGCGGAGAGGGGGGGTGAGCCAGGCCTGGCAGTGATGGATTGCCGGGACGCGGGGGTAATTAACATGGGCCCTGGCACAGGCCTGTGCAAGCTGCAGCCCAGGGACTTCCTGAAGATGGTTTACAGCTTTCATTACTTGAGCTCATAACAAAGGAAATACATGCGAAAACTTGGGTTTTTTAAAATCCGGAAGCCACCAGGCCGCTGTCAGGCCCAATTTACACCCCTATTAGTGCTGGTAGGAACACAATTGAACTGATGTTCAAAGAGCTCAGTGTGGCTGCATGTCACCCTACAGAGGAGGGTTGGGTTTTCCAGCAGGAAGGGCCTTGGAGGTAGGAGGTGTTGGCAGGGAGAAGCACACAAAGGCACGTGGTCTGAGCACTTAGGAAGGAGGGGAGGGCGGGTTTACCCCTCACCCCCC